CCTTCGTATATGGCCCCTCACATCGTACCCTCCTTCGGACGTCTTCGTTTCCGTACACAAGCATGCACATACACGCACTGAGCACGGCATGCCCCGCTACACACACACACACACACACACACACACACACACTCAATTTGACGTCCATGCAACAAAGCAAAGGACAGCAGCGTGCACCTGGACCCAGCTGGTGATCAGGTGCATGATTTTCACTACCCAGGCATGCCAAGGCCGACGTCAACTTGAGGTGCCGAGCCAGAATCGGAAAGTGGGCCGAAAAAAAAACAAACGAAAAGGTGTGTCAGAGGGCACTAAAGTTCCTCTGAAGTGCTATATCGTCATCATGACCCACCGCCAAAGAAAAAGAAAAGAAAACCAAACTTATTCCCCATTCTTGAATCAAAAAAGCAACATCGCATTTCTTCTGAATGAAAAAAATGCATTTTCTGCTGTCACACCGTCGAGTTACCTCAACTCAACGGTGCATGTGGGACAAGGTCCCTGGGGCCTGGACCCACTAGCGAAGTATTCAACGACGTGTGACGCAATTTTATGGTTTTTTGGAAAAGACAGAGTTTTTTTTTGTTTTTTTTGTTTTTTTTTTGGGAAAGTGTAATGGTATATTACATATAAACAATGAACCGAGGCCGGGGACCTCACAATTCGACCCGGAGTTATCCTGGCAGCCTCAGCCAGTTTCGCTTATGAGTACAGCTCGAAATCCAACCACCTATTCAAAATACCTCGTCCAGGCTGCTGGAAACCGGGCCCAGCGTCCCATTCTACAAAAACACTTTCCAAACGTTAAACTTTGAAGCTCCAAAAAGGGGATTAAAAGGGTGGCTCTCCAAATTTACCTCACGGAAACAAGCTGAGCAGGGGCCTGCCACTCCTCACTGCAGCAACCAATTATTACAGAAACAATACTAGGTCCTGCTAAAAGCGCAGGATGGTATCTGAGACACCTCTAGTGCTAGGGACCTACAGGAGACTAAAACTCGTCCCCACATCCAATCCTTAACACACCCACGAGGCCAATTCTAACTTACCATCAGTCGAAATTCTATCACAGTTTGCTTTCACCCAGGTCTTGTTGAACCATAATTTTAGCAAGTTATTTTTTTCCGCATGAATGGATCGTTTTCTGATTTAAAATGAATTGAAATGGCACATAAAACAAAGAAGAGCAAAAAAAAAAGAAAAAAAAGAAAAAAAAGAAAAAAAAGAAAAAAAAGAAGAGCAGCTGTGCACCCGAATTGATGGGTTGGTACGATCTCCTTCACGTAAGTCTTCATAGTGATGTACCGTGGCAATAAAATGTGTCCACGAACACAGTCACGAGGATGAACAAGTAACCGGTATTGGGATACATTCATCACCATGTGTCTCACGATGCCTCTAGCAGGCCATCCGACAGACGCGGAAGCGTTCCTGTCAGATCCACCACAATATTCGATTTTTTTTTATTTTATTTTTTCCCCCTTAACCCTGAATAATTCCATTCCAATGATAAGGAGTCGAGGTCGGGGACCTCACAATTCAACTCGGGGGTATCTGACAGCATCAGCCAGCTTAGCTTACAGGCCTAGGCCTGTGGAAAAAAGATATCATACTCCATTTTGCCACCAATTCTAACTGCACAGCTAAGAGCTACAGAAACAGGGACTTTCTCTTCCCACAGTCTACTGTTTGCTCTTACGACTTTTTCAGTAAACGCTCTCTCCTGATTGGTGGGCTGTCAAGGGCCAACCCTATGCTTCCTAACTCCGGCCTCTTACTACTTCTACATCTACATCTACTCCTGGGACTACGCACGGCCCAGGGGACCTCCCCCCTACCCTCTAGAGTTGGCACCAAATTGCGACACACCATCCCCCCTACCCTCTAGAGTTGGCACCAAATTGCGGCGAGGAATCCTCCCGTGAGACCTTTCCAGGCTGCGGACTATGTGAAAACAGAAAACTACGTTTTTCCAAGCCGCAATCTTCGGTCTGTGGGGTCCAGGAAAACGGTTTGCAGGAGAAATTTCACCTTTCCGTGGACATCTGCTGCGGGCTGTGGGGTCCTGGAAACAGTTTCACGGCAAAGGTTTTCCTTTCCGCGGCCCTGTGGGGTCCAACTCTTAAATGTGGCTGACCTCATTTATGGCCGAACCTGGATGAACCTGACGCCAATTAGGCCATAATGAGTAAAAAGGCCAATAGTGTGAGTATGCCCTCAGTTGGTCTCTACAAAGAGACTTTGCTGTATTGCTCGTTCCTATATGATATGCATTTGGCTTTGATTTCTGCCTTCATTTCGGCTCAATTACGTCTGGTCTTCTATGAGATGTCTGTTTTTTTTTTTTTTTTTTTTTTTTTGAGATCCGCTTTACAAATGTTCCCATTGCTTATTTCGTTGCAGAAGCATACATGATCACAAAGTTTACCAGCTCTGTGCTGGGGCTCGCACACTCGCAAATTATGCAATATCGTGAGAAGAATTAGAGTGCATTAAGGAGCGTCCACAGGAGTCACTCCCCAAATGGGGGCATGAATATCAGCACCGCGGGTAGGGTAGGTTAGTGGCTTGCAGGCGGTTTAAGATCAAAAAGCGCAATTCTTTTTTTTTTTTTTTTTCCGGAAAGCTCATATCTGTATTGCTCAACAAAGCATGAGGCCAGGGAGCTCACAATTCGACCCGGAGTTATCCTGGCAGCCTCAGCCAGTTTCGCTTAGGAGCGTAGCTAGCAGAGTAACCAACTGCTCAAAATATATATCTTTTTAATGCTACAAACCGGGTCCTACGTCCCATTCTAAAGACTGAGAACTTTCCAAAATTCACTTGAAGCTCAGAAATAAGTGAGCATTTCACCATACCAGCTCAAAATCACCTAGACCATCCGTTCGACAAAAGTACCTTAAAACGGACTGGAAACCGGGTCCAGTGTCCCATTCCTGTATCCAGATCTTAACTCTGACCATGGGGTTTCAAAATCTGGTTCTTGAGAAAATGGGACTGTTGTCTCCTTCAGAACTGTGGTCAGATAAACCCTGTCAAAAGGTTTTGGAGCCAAGTTGCTGCCAAGAAGAACAGCATCACCAAGCACGGCTAACGACATAAGATTGACTGCAATGAAACAGTTTCATGACAAGGTAGAAACCACACACAATCACTGGTAGATATCAGAATACATGAACGAGAGCCGAATGCATATTGCTAGAAATTTCCACTTGCTTTGGAATACAGCTAGTTATTCGGACTACCCTTCTGGGCTGTCTTTGCAGCAGGAATGAGCAAATCAAGCTCTTATTCTTCTGCTTAGTCCACTTCGAGCGTGCCAACTTTGCCGATGATCGATGTTTCACTAACATGTACCAAGACTGCACACAGAGCTTGCCCATCATCCTGGAGGTCATTGTCGCTCAGTCCGTTGTAGACGTTGGATCCTCTGGGAAAGTAAATCCTCATGCAGTGTGTGCATGAACTCACATTTTTCGCTCTATGTATTGTTTCTCTTCTGGTCAAACTTCCCGTGCATGGCAATGGCAATAGTTTTCAGAAAGCGTATTCTTTTGTAAATTTAAGTGAATGATTGCTCATTCACTTCTAATCACAGCTGTTACCCTTGTAGTCTATACCAGCGTACTTCTCGTCATAGCTCTCGTGTGCCCGTGCTGCTGGGTGTTGTACTGCTTCTCATCATGCCCCTTCTCATCTCATCCTTCTTCTTGCCCTAGTCCTTGTAATAACCCTTCCTCCCAAACTTCTTGCCATACTTGTTGTCGTACTTATAATACTTCTTGCCATACCTGTCATACTTTTTGTTATACTTCTTCTTTCCATAGTATTTCTTGTTATAATTGCCACCGTAGCCGTACTTCTTCTTATCGTAACGGTTGTATTTCCTACCATACTCCTCCATGTACTTCACTCCAAAGTTCTCTCCTTTGTATTTGTCGTCATCAAACTTGTTGTCATACTCGTTGCCGTATTTCCTCTCGCCATATTTCTCGTCATCCTTCTTGTTGTATTCCTTGTCCTTATACTTCTTCTCTTCGTACTCGTTGTCATGGTAGTTCTTCTCATGGTACTTCACGTTGTACTTCTCTGCATCATACTTCTTGTCATTCTGCTTCTCCTCCTTGTAATTGTTGTAGTACTCACCACCCTTCTTACCATCATCATACTTTTCATCATCGTCATACTTTTCATAATCACCATACTTCTCATACTTCTTCTTGTCCTCCTCGTACTTCTTGTTCTCATCGTACCTGTCATCGCCGTATTTCTTTTCGTACGTTTTTTCGTTGTATTTGTTGTCACTGTACTTCTTGAAGTACATGTCCTTGTCTTTCTTACCATCGTAGCTCTGCTGACTGTAGTACTTGTCATAACCAAAATTGTCGTCCCTGTAGTACCCTTTGCCATACTCGTCAGCATACCCATCATCTCCAAGCTGCCTGCTTACGATGCCAGTTCCTGTTTCTTCATTCTGAGCAGCCGTAGTCACCTTCGATAAGGAGTTGCTCCCATCAGTAGGGACTGCAAGGGACTGAATGACAAAACCAAGCAGAATTATTCCAAGACATCCTATGAATGATCCTGCCAATCTGGCCTGGCCAGTGGCTTCCCTCCTGAGGACCGCCATGGAATCTGAAGACTACAAGCCGACTCCTGATCGCTTCTAGACCTACCTGAGGAGACAACGTGTGGCCTAGTTCTAGTTTCGGCGGCTGGTATGGATGTCTGTGTATTGCAGCAAAGGCGATCCCCGATTTCCTTTACTCTACCAGTCCGTAGTGAACTGGCGAGGTCATGGCTGATTTGTGCAACATCGCAGGCATATATATATATATTCCCCCATGCTCAGGCTGTGCAAGACCGGCAGCTCGAGAACAAGGGTCTCCCAAGCAGTAGTTTGCCTTGCTACGGCTCTCATGTCTGTTCGCCTTTTGAAACACTGCCAAGCTGGACTTCAGGCACAAAGATGATCCACAACTGGATTGCGAACAGTGGATGTGTTACAAAATGGAGGGCTGAGTCCACACATATTACTTGCGGCCTATTCCAACTTCCAAGGCCATTTGCATTTGCAAATAACTTCGTTTTTTTTTAAAGTCATTGGACTCCTCAAGCGGGATAGATGGGCAACGTGCTCATATTACGTGCGGTATTTGAACTGCTGGACACAAATGGCTGGTGCTGCCAGCCAAAAGCAAAGAAAAACTCACATGCTGGCATCTCGGCAAGGTCTGGTGCGTAGTGGGTTCCTCCTAAGCAATAAGATGCCCGGATGTGATGCCTTTTGAAAGAAAAGAGCTTGAGAATAGACGGGGCATGGTGTGTAGGTTGGAGGAATTATAAAAATAAAAATGGTTGCTTAATTTAAGCACACTACATTCCCTTATATGTACCTACCTAGGGCCTGGACCCACTAGCGAAGTATTCTACGACGTGTGACACGGTTTTATGTTTTTTTGGAAAATACAAAGTGATTTTTTATTTGCATGAATGGATCCTTTTCTGATTTAAAATGAAGTGAAATAGGTTCAAATAGATCATAAAACTATGAAGAACAGCTGTGCACCCGAATTCATGGGTTGGTACGTAAGTCTTCATAGTGATGTACCGTGGCAATAAAATGTGTCCACGAACACATTCACGAGGATGAACGAGTAACGAGTATTGGGATACATTCCTCACGATGTATCTCATGATGCCTTTAGCAGGCCATCCGACAGACGCGGAAGCTTTCCTGTCAGATGCACCACACTATTCGAATTTCACATTTCAAGTTCTATTTCTCAGAGCCAAAAAAAAAAAAAAAACGAAGTCTGGAAATCAACCCCCCCCTTTAGAGCCCATAAAATCCAGACTTCCCGCCCACGCAAAGCCACGAGCTATCATGTCCAAGTTAGTCCAACTTTTTTTTTTTTTTTTTTTCGACGCATCTCATTGGACGGGAGGTGGGCATCTTTACAGTCCCCGCTCGGAAACTACCAGGCCGTCBAGATCCGATCTATTCSACGGCCGTACTGAGTCACTCKATGCCACACGTGATCGAAATCCTGAACGGTGTGGTAGAATACCTTGCTAATGGGTCCAGGACCCCGGGAGCAGCACATGCTGGGAACCAGGCCCAGCGTCCCATATAATTATACAAGTCATTTGAAATACCAGGGCCATTACCTGGCTTCGGCTAAGAACAATCTGAGTTCAGGAAAAATTAGGAAAAACATTGATAACTGCTGACCTATTGCTAGGCTTTTTTTTTTTTTTTTTTAAAATACAAAAAACATCCCCCCTGCCAGTGCTAGTGCTGCTGATACGAGCAGTCACCACTAGCACCCAGGGGAAGGCTCCATCTATTGGTGGGGAGCATCACCTGCTGGAAACCGGGTCCAGCGTCCCATATACAGAATCAAAAATAGAGTTGTTTGAGAAGCATGATTATGGTGCCTGCCAGCATTGATTGCCCTGTCTTCCAGGGGATTAACCGATCAGGTGTGTGTATCCAAAACTATAGCAATGTAGCCTTTGTCTTCCGTATCTCTTCACCCCCCAGAGGGGGGCGCCAGATGACCCAATAAGCGCTGATACCACTTCGAGAAGTAATAAAATTGCTTAGCAGGAAAACTCCCTGGGGGGCTCCAGGGGAGGATTCCTTATATGATTAAGAGATGTGAGTAGAACAAGGTTGTAGGGTTTTATCATTCAGGACAGGGTCTCTGCCAGGGAAAGGGCATGGGGCGGGAAAGGGTCTGGAAAATCAGCAGAGGGGAAAGAAGGTTCTATGTTCATCCAGTCCTTGAAAATTAGGCGATAGTCTCTCATCTCTTCCAAATCCCTCTGTCCCTCCCCCCCATCTCCGCTCCATTCTACTTTTGCAATCCATCCTTCTCTCTCCCCTCCCACCCAGTCTGTGCAAAATGCTGTAATCCGTCTCCTATCGTCTCCTACTTGTTTAAAAAGATCTAATTGTGCTTTGGTGTCCCGCCATCTTTGTGCGAGTTCGAAATGCACCTGCTGCCGAATTTGTTCAGTAATTTTTGGCACCTCTACTCTCACCTTATCCATAGCCAGCGTACATCTCTGCCACCAAATTGCCCACATCACCGCCTTCCTTCCAAAACAGATGGCCGGAAAATCTGCAGATATAATGACACAAGAGTAACAAGGACATTTCCTAAATATTTCAGGAGCATACGAAGCGAGTCGGAAACCAAGGTTAAGCAAACGACAAGAAACGGAACGACGAAGAAAACGAGGTACTCACCTGGTGAAGAAGGATGAAAACCACGGCCGTGCGATATACAAAGCAACAAACAGAGATAAAATACACGTCAGTACCAAAACATGAATACGGCCAAATAAACCAGGTAAGTACGGAATATCCTACAAAGAAAAGTGGAATGAAACAGGGACGGAAAATAACACGGACTCGCACACAAATATATATCTCTACATATGTACATATATGTGTATGACAGGATCGACGACAAACGGAAAATCGACGGCAACAAGGATTAGTCAGAGCGCTGCCAGAGACTCAGAGGACGGATGATGAAAAACTGCAAGGATGAGGAGAGTAGGTGGGGAAGGCTAAGGACACAAGGGTATAAACTTTGAGGACAGTGGCTGAAATGATTACCTGAGCAGAAAGGTAGAAGGGTAATCGCGACGATGTTTTCGACGCATGCCATGGGCAGGACGTGTATTCAGTGAAAGTAAAACCTCGCACGTTTTGTCTATCATTGCATATGTGTATCTCAAGGCACGGTGCTTTGAGCTTGCGGGCAGTACCCGTGACGATCGACACTGGATCTACGAGAGTACTCTCTTCATTCTTTTATTCTCTCTTTCTTTATTCTTCATACTTTTTTTATTCTTCATTTTTCTTCCATTCCCTCCATCGAACCTGACATTTTGTCACCATTCTGATCTCATTTTGTCTTCCTTTCGTCAGTCTGTCTTCGCTTATTCACCTGTTGTGGTAGCGCTACTGGAGATTGTATTCGCGTGGAGATTCTACTTCGCGTTTTTGAGATTATCACCACTTCTAGTTTCAGTCTCTACCGCTGGTCTATCGTGTTCGTTGGAGATTCACATCGGTACCATGCGCGCGTTGGAGATTATCAGTTGACACGGTGTGTTTGTACCCGACGGTCCGGAAACTTCAGGGAAGATGTTGCGCTCGCGATCATCGTCGAAGAGAAGGAGGCACAGACACTCATCATCGTCCTCTGCATCACATGCCAAGAAGCACTCGAAACGGGGCAGATCCAAGACTCCGAGGGATCAAAGGCATAGGTCGCGGTCACCAGCATCCAAGAGAAGGAGGGCGGAGTCAGACTCACCGAGACCATTTAACTGCACACTATGGGAACAACGAAGAAACGATTCTTGGCCACCAGGAAATCGTTCTTGGTTTACCGTTGACCTGAAAGAGGAGATCTTCAAACTGCGGCGAGAGATGGACAAGGCGTTGAAGACATTGGAGCAACTCACCATGAAGCAGGGAGAAAGGAAACCATCGCAAGTGCAGGAATGCCAACCTCAGTACACATTAACCGCAACATTCCAAGCTGCAGCATGCCTAGCAGGAGCATTCCAGTCAAGGGCATTCCAAGCAGGAGCATTCCAAACCGAAGCAGACTTGGCCGACTGCTGCCTCCTCATCCCAAGAAGGGACGAACCAAGAGCACACGAAGGCCAACAACAGTCAAGTCGAAGGCGAAGCGAAGCATCAACTTTGGCCTTGAACCAATGACTGATACGCAGCTCTTTCGCTTGCATTACACAGACCTCAAGGACATGTGCAAGATGCATGACATTAGGAACAAGGACAAGCCCCGGGCTATCTCAACACTGCGACTTGTACCTGGCCTGATTACGTATAATGGACGCGACTTCAACAGGGACTCAGACCTCGAGACGCAAATCCAGCCAGATTCGGACAACGTCAGGATCTCCAACTTCAGCTATGAAGAAACAGAGGACGAGATAGAAAGTTTGAGTTCGGATTCAAGTATGGAGGGTGACGACGAATCATCGGATACATCCTCGAGCACTGAAGATCTTTCGGGAAGGTAGATAGACTGCCAACGACTAGTGACCTCACCACAACGAAAAAATGGGAGCACATACACCGAGTAGCTACGACAATAGAAAGACTACCGAGTGCAGGAAAGATTAGCGACTGTCAATCATACAATAAACGGTACAGACTTCTGTTTATCTCACTTGCGCTTGACGGAGAGATTCCATGGGCAAGCCAGCTAGTCGACCTATGGATAGCACAGCAGCATACGATTGAGTCGTTGTTAGCAGCGACATACAGTGTGTATGTACCCGTTTCGCCGTGGTGTAGGCACATGTACATAGGCAGGACAGGGAGGAAACCCGACAAGAGGTGGGGCGAACATGTCAACCTAGCCAGAAATCCAAATAGGGGAGCACAACGAAAGTTATACGGCTGGCTACGAAAGTTTGGGTGGGAGAAGTACGTTCGCATACCTATCTGGACCGGAGTAAAATCCGAAGTGACCGCAATGGAGACGGCCCTAATCAAGAGACTAAATCCATTTTTGAACATAAGAGGAAAAGGAACGAGAACTCGGAAGAACAAAAAACGAAAAAGAGGAAAGGGAAAGAAACAGACTCGGACGGTTAATCAGAATATACCTATACTATTCAAATCGACACGAACTGGATACACCACAAAATTGACAACACTACTGCAGCCAAAAACAATGATCAACTGTACAGCCGAAAAATTGTGGACAAAAAAATTGAAAATAATCAAACGAATTTTTGGATTCATAATCTTTAAAATTAATGGCGCAAAATTCCAGCTCAAAGAGTGGAGGAAGAAAATGGAACAAGAGTGTACTTTTTGTGTAATCCAGCTTGTGCATACAACACCATCAACAAACAAACATAGAAATTTTTTGATCAACTCTCTGCGAGCGCAATGGAGAAGGAAAAACCTCTATAAACTAACGATGGACGATATGTTGATTCTGTTGTCAAAAGTGGGATCGGTAACCGAAAAGAAGTAGCGCGGTACGATAAAAGACATATTTACACGAATGTCAAAAAAAAAGTTTGCGTTCAATATCAAAAGGAGACTGATATTTAAAATTCCATTCGCGGCTAACATCAATCTCAAGCAAGTCAGAAACACAACGACAGATGCAATCATCGAAAATGTACAGAATGAGAATTTGACTAAAGAATTGTCATCCCGCATGAGAGTGATGTTTAAAAAATCGAGAACAATCAAGGAAATACTACACAATCACAGGCAAGTGATGATACAAGAACCTGACTGCAATTGTGAAGTATCCTAATTCCCAAAATTAGATAATCATATTGCCTGCAAACTGAGTGAAATTACGGATAACCAATTGATATGAAATGCAAAAAACGTTCCCCGTATAAATGAGAGAATTGGAAAAGAGGAAGTGCAAAAAACAATCCGTATCACCATTGCAAGTATACCACGAGGCCTGAGAAAGACAAAATAAATTAAAGTGGATGTCTCCTTTTGCTTTAATGAGAACAAGGACAAAAACGACAAGAGCGGTCTGAATATGTCAGAAGTATGAAACATTAAGAAGAAACTTGGACTTAATTTTCTCTCCACTTGACTGAAATCCGGGGGAAACCTTTGTTGAATGTCCAAAAGCCTGGCATGAAAAGACGAAAAACTTTGTTCTGGGATCAAAATACTATGAAATCATACAAGCAGCAGAATCCGAGATTATTCAACTAACCAAGAACACTTTACATGCTTATGGGCTAAAGAAAATTGCGGATTGGGATGAGAATGAGACTTTTGAAAATGCTTATACAATTGCCAAAAACAAAGACGTGACCAGACAACGACCGATTATACCAACGTACAATGAACCTTCGCGGAAAGCATAAAAAATCCTCTCACGAGCGATCAACTTTATGTGCGAAACATGGAAAGTGGGGTTCGCACTGCACGGAACAAACCAGCCGGTTCCCAAATTGAAGAACTGTAACAAAATTGCGAAAGAAACGTACGACGAAAAAACTGCACTGATATGCTCCACGTATGACGTTAAGGACATGTTCTCAAACCTGGACCACATGCATATCCTAAACGCAATGCAATCGATGTTACAAACGGCAAAAGAAACAAGAAAAACGCACTTATGCTATAAGCAGAGAGGAAAGTTTATTAACTTCGGTAAAGCAAATGGAACCTAGGGATGGAGAACAGTGAGAATTGACAACCTGATTAGTTTGTTGGATTACGATATTAGACACGCATATTTTAAAGTACAAGGAATTTTAATGCATCAAATTAAGAGCATACCGATGGGTAAGGGTTCCAGCCCACCGATAGCGAACATGGTGTGTGCCTTTGATGAACACACGTGGTGTTCGGAAATTAGGATGGATAGGAAGCTCATTCACGACATGAGATTTGTCGATGACGTAATGATCATCCTCATCGCTAACAAGGAAAATCAGGAGAAAGAATTGAAATGTTTGGAGTCATTCAAATCATGTTATCACCAATCGCTGAAACTGGAAATGAGAGCAAGCAACAAAAATATTAAATTGACGTATCCGGAAACAACGATGACAATATCAGAACACGAACCCCTCCTGAAGTGTACACATAGACTGAAGAATGAAGCGACACTCTAGGAGGGGTTGTTAAGCTCTCTCTCTCTCAGGACTCTGCGGCACTTTAGGAGTGCGGGTTTCGAAAAAACGAAAATATTGACGATAATCGGAACATGTCACAGAATGGTAGCGAACACATATGAGAGCACAAATCTGCCTGCGGTGATCAAGATGTTTGGAAGAGAACTGAGACTGATGGACTACCCATGGAGGATAACCCGCACGACGATGCTGGCATACATCAGGAATTGTAAAGACGCTGAAGTCCGAATGAAATTCCCCGAATATCTGAAAGGAGAAGAGACACCAGCCACATAACAGAATATAAACAAACAAGGAAGGACGCTACAAATTCCGAGGCATCTGGAAGGAGTATCTACAAGGAAAGGATAAATAAAAAAACAGAAAATGAAATGAAGAATATAATTCCAGACGAAGAAAAACAAAGTAAGACACACTCACGACTAAAAAACAGACGGTCGGAAAATCTGCAGATGTAATGACGCAAGAGTAACAAGGACATTTCCTAAATATTTGAGGAGCATACAAAGTGAGTCAGAAACCAAGGTTAAGCAAACGACAAGAAACGAAACGATGAAGAAAACGAGGTACTCACCTAGTGAAGAAGGATGAAAACCACGGCCATGCGATATACAGAGCAACAAACAGAGATAAAATACACGTCAGTACCAAAACATGAATACGGCCAAATAAACCAGGTAAGTACGAAATATCCTACAAAGAAAAGTGGAATGAAACAGGGACGAAAAAGAACACGGACTCGCACACAGATATATATCTCTATATATATACATATATGTGTATGACAGGATCGACGACAAACGAAAAATCGACGACAACGAGGATTAGTCAGAGCGCTGCCAGAGACTCGGAGGACGGATGATGAAAAACTGCGGATGAGGAGAGTAGGTGGGGAAGGCTAAGGACACAAGGGTATAAATTTTGAGGACAGGCTGAAATGATTACCTGAGCCGAGAGGTAGAAGGGTAATCGCGACGATGTTTTCGTCGCATGCCATGGGCAGGACGTGTATTCTGTGAAAGTAAAACCTTGCACGTTTTGTCTATCATTGCATCTCTCTCTCTCTCTCTCTCTCTCTCTCTCTCTCTCTCTCTCTCTCTCTCTCTCTCTCTCTC